GTAAACCACACTTCAAGAGAGGCTGGGGAATGAAGCCTAGCCTTGTGCCCAGGAGGAAACAGGAAATGATTTGGTAAATGAACAGCTGGGATCTGCCTCATTTTCAAGCGGCGTTTGGTTTCATCCAGCACTGGGGCCTCACAGCTCACAACCAAATGCAAAGAAAGGTCTTTTTTCACAGTTAGGTACAAACAGTGTTGAAACGACAAACCTTCGTTACATGCAGGAAACAGTCACTGAATTCAGGGATTTTTCCAGATCATCAGTCCCTTTGATTCAAGACCAGCAGAAAACAAACAAACAAAAAAACCCCAAAAAACAAAAACAAAACTATTCCTCCTCTGTTCTCCCTTCCCTCTGAAACATGTAAGATCTCCCACCTCTAAAATTCAACAACACTAATTTGGCAATTCACCCTTTACCTGTTACAACACCACCTTTTTTTTCTACTCTTATAATGGCATCCCTTATTTAAAGTGCACGCAATGTACTTCATTTGTATCATTTAAAAGGGTGAAAAACATGTTTAAATGTCATTAGGCTTGTAGTTCATACCAGGAAAACAAGCTCATCAAATACTTTCATCAGGTAACACCTTTGATCAAGACAAGGTTTAATTAAACAAATCATTAGCTCTGAGACTTGATCAAAGCATAAATGTTAATGCACTGACTACTCTCGTCTTCTTCGTATAATGAGCAGCGCAGACTAGCTCACTTCCAAAATCCCATCTGACTCTTAACTTTCCATCCATTCCAAAGGGCAAGGTTGTGGGCCTTTTCAGCGGTACATCCGGGACCAGCATAAAGGTTCCTGGTTTCTAGTCCATTCTGATGCTCTGACCACAAATGAGGACAGTCTTGTGGCTCAAACAATCCCATCAGAGAGTTGTGGTCCCAGTCAGCGAGTAGTGATCGACTTGTTTGCTCAGAGACTGATGGCTGAAAATCTATAGAGAGAGAGATTTTTAAAAATCAAGCCATTATTTCCCACCGCTTCAAAAGCTCCCAAGAGTCGAAATTATATTTGAATAGCATTTGGATGGCTTTCTCAGAAAAACAACTTCAGGGAAATTTAGCAATTATATATTTTGGCTCCTACAATTTTGAATATAGAACACACTGACAGAAGGCAGAAGGCTGGAAGAAGTGTCCACACATGCAGCACGTTCTAAACTAATGACTTAGTCTCATTTACGATTTATCATTCTGGAGGGTGTGTAGGCTAAAGATTTAAATTTTCTTCCAACTTAATAGGTTCTATGCCCTTATTATATTTGAAGTAAAGTTTTCAGTGACTACAGAAAGAACGTGAAAATTGCTTTCTTTACAACTGTTACTATTTTCATATGAGATTAGGTATTCCAAGTAGAACATAATTGATTTTATTCATTCTTCTTATAATATGCTTTGGTTTATTCATTCATCCATCCATTGTGTCAGTTTTCGCTTTTTTTTTTTTCAGTTTTTATTTAAATTCCAATTCGTTAACATGCAGTGTAATATTAGTTGCAGGTGTAGACTTTAGCGATTCAACATTTAGATTCAACATCTACATACAACATCCGGGGCTCATCACAAGTGCCCTCCTTAATCCCCATCACCCATTTAACCCTTCGCCCCCCACCTCCCCTCTGGTAACTATTAATTTGTTCTCTACAGTTAAGAGTCTATTTCTTGAGTTGTCTCTCTTTTTTCCCTTTGCTCATTTGTTTTGTTTCTTAAGTTCCATGTATGAGTGCGATCATGTGTTAATTGTCTTTCTCTGACTTATTTCACTCAGCATAATGGCAAGATTTCATTATTTTATGGCTGAATAATATTCCATGAGATATTTTTTCAACTTTGTATATTATATATATCATATAAAACCTTCTGTATCCATTCATCTGTTGATGCACATTTGGGCTCTTTCCATACTTAGGCTATTGTAGATAGTGCTGCTACAAACATTGGGGTGCATGTAGCCCATCAAATTAATTTTGTATCCTTTGGATGAATACATAGTAATGAAATTGCTACAATTAGCCACAGTGCGATTCCTGATAAAGTATCCTTAAAAACTTGTTTCCAGAAATAAAAAGATGCCTATTTCTAAACCCAGAAAACCATAATTTAATCAATTCATTGGACAGTTTCTCCAAAATATATTTACTCATACATAAGTAAAAGTAATTATATTTTAAGATGCTTTTAGAAGTTTGATTATTTTATTTAATGAAAACTAATGTTCCAATACTTCCAATTCTGACTGCATTAACTTGCAAAGTTGTATCATCATACTTCCATTTTTCAATTTAGTTTTATACCATTCTAAAAACTGCTAATGACCTAAATTTGTTTTCAAACTTCATTTTCGGATCGCAAACCCCTGCAAGTACACTAGTTATTTATTCTTCACATTTATATCGTCTTAAATTTTATAGATATTTTCCCACCATAGTGAAAAAAATTATTAATATTGGAGCCTAACCAGCTTCCAGATTAGAATGATTTCCGTGTGTTTGACACGGCCTCTTATCCATACACTCATAGTATTATTCAAAAAGCACGTTCGTCTTTCCTTTGGAAAGTGTTGAGAGTTTCCACGGAGGCTGGTAAAATGAGCGATTCTGCACTATGTGAGTTTGTGAGCTTTTTTTATTATTAGCATTGACTTCCAACTGACTTTCTGAGCTACACCTGGTACTGTTCTAACTTGGAATGCTGCTTCTTACTTGATAACTTGCACGTTTAAAATGTTAATCTTGTGTGTAAAAGGAATATTTAGTAGAAAGAGGCCAGCGTGATTTACTTGATAATATTTGGAAGTAAATAAGACATTTATGCTGAAGAAAAGGAATTATGAGTTTGCTTGATTTTAAATTTTTTTTTCTTTTTTTCAACGTTTATTTATTTTTGGGACAGAGAGAGACAGAGCATGAACGGGGGAGGGGCAGAGAGAGAGGGAGACACAGAATCGGAAACAGGCTCCAGGCTCTGAGCCATCAGCCCAGAGCCCGACGCGGGGCTCAAACTCAGGGACCGCGAGATCCTGACCTGGCTGAAGTCGGACGCTTAACCGACTGCGCCACCCAGGCGCCCCTGCTTGATTTTAAATGTGAGATAATCCTTATTTTACTTCAATAGTAATTTAAGCACTCCCCCCCCCCCACCATTTTTTGGAAGGAGAGAAAGATTTTTAATGGCCCACACTTTGCTAATTACTGAAAAACAGTCATTGGCTTATGTTACTTACTTCCCAGAGCATCTGACTGGACTTCATCCAAAATTGCAGAGACCATGTGAAAGAATACAGTAACATTTACCAACGAAGTTCATTGATTCAATCTCAGAAAAGTAAACACAGTTCCTCAGTGATGTTTCCTAGGTGTTACAACATGAATCTTAAGGAGGTATGATTAGGCCTAGTAGAACAACATCTGTGTGTTTGATGAAAAGGATTTTCATTACTTTAGGAGACTTGATTTGGCAAAAAAAAAAAAAAAAAAGTTTGAATGAATTAAAAATTCCCTTACTTTGCCCCAACTTAACATTTGCTCATGAAAGAAATTACTAGACTTAAAGAATGCATCATTGACTACACGCAAAGAGAGCAGATTACCAAAATGTGGGTGAATGATGAGAAGTCAGTCGAAGCAAAGCAGTTCAGACTCTTCTCTCCATTTGCTCTCACCTGCTTGCGAAGCTGCTTCCTGACGGTAAGTGCCAAGAAACCACAGAGATCACATTGAAGGGACTATCACCAGGAATTATGAGTAGAAACTTCTAGCATAAAATTTGATCAAAAACCAATTCTATTCGTAAAAAACACACTCAAATTCCTCGTTACAAAATGTAAAAACATTTTATTTGGAAGTTTTATACAAATTTAGTATTTATTATCTTTCACTTGGTAGTTCTATTATAATTATATAATATAAAGAAAATATAATGATCGCTTTCACCGAGACCCACATAAAATGTCCCCCAAATACCTCATATTCACCCAGCGTGCTCTATAATTACGCTCGTTTTCTATGTGAGACACCAACATGGAGTCTGAAAGCCCAGTATACAGCTTGATAATGTCTAACGTGGGATTAGCCCATTTGAAAGAATACATGAATAAATACCTTCACCCAAAAATGGCCGAAAACTTCAAAAGAACCAGGAAAACACAATGACTTACATAAAGTCTACCTTTGCAGAACTTTTTATTTTTTTTTTTTAATGTTTATTTTTGAGAGAGAGAGAGAGAGCACAAGCTGAGGAGGGGCAGAAAAAGAGAGGGAGACACAGAATCAGAAGGAGGCTCCAGGCTCCAGGCTCCGAGCTGTCAGCACAAGAGCCCAATGAAGGGCTTGAACTCACAAACCGTGAGATCATGACCTGAGCCGAAGTCAGACGCGTCACCGACTGAGCCACCCAGGGGCCCCACAAACCTTTTTAAAAATAAAAGAGTTCCACCACATTGACAACACAAATCGGAAGACATCAAATAAACAGAGTGATCAAAAATGGCAGTTAAACTTCAATCCAATGCCATCATTGTAATCACAGGATTAGCCTGAGTAAATAGATATTAAAAGCCCAATAATTCCTTCGTATACTAATCTGAGTACCTTCTTTTTAGTAACGGCTCTATTGAGGAATTGGCCAAGTTTTTCTTCTGTTCGTGTCTTATTTTTCCTTAAATATATCTGGCAAGACGAATCAGAGAGGGCGTTTTTCCTTCATGTTCTCTAAAGGTCCACCATATAGGATCTTCTAGGGAAAGAATACAACAGCCAGCACACTGCTCTCTTAGGAAAAGCCATGAGGGATCCCTAACCACGCCAACCCGAATGATACCAGACCTCAAAATGAACATGGAAAATGCACACGTAGGACATCAGAGGTGGGACATCAACACAGAGTGTTACGAGCTATTTCCCTGTAATGTCTGATCACGTTTACTACCTGGTTACAGAGAACTTTCATTCCGGCAAATCAGGAATGCAACATATTGAGAATAATAAAGATCAGCAGCAAATATTTAATTCGGGGCATGAGGAAGTAAAAAAGGAGGAAGGGCATCTACTATATAGGCTGTTATAATAAGTAAGTCTAATAAGCAATCAGTCGTCAAACATAGTAGATACACATTAAAACATGTTTGAAGCAAAATCTCTCAAGCAGCTAAGTGCTTGGAACCTTAAAACTTATTAAAATAGTAGTAGTTATTATAATTACTGCTACTGTTATTCATCTTTATTATATTATTGTTATAATAAGGGAAGTCATAGACACTGTATCTCCAGAAGTCTGAAATCCTTAATAAATACAGAGAGTTTATAGGAAAATATAACCTTATAGTGGAATGCCCTTTATATTCAATTAAAAGGTAAAATGAAAATCTCGACTAGATAGCAGCTTCCATGATATCAAAACCACTTACGTCCCTTACTATCTTTGGTTATTTTCCTTCATTCCAACCCTGAAAAAATAAAGAATGCAGGACATTAAAATCAGATACATTGTATCTGGACTGAAATTTACATTTTACTAAGTGTATCCAAAAAAAAAAAAAACAAAACAATGTCTAGCATTATGTATGAACTCTGAGCTATTAACATAATTCTGAATTATTATACAATTTAAAAAGTTGAACATTTAGAAAAGAATTACTCATAATACAACATGTATTTCACGTTCAAAACCATGGGTTATTATTCAGCTGTCAGTAGAGAATGGAATGCAACAATAAACATATTGCAACACCTTTACTTAAATTAGCTTAAAAATATCACATGGAATTAAAGCACGGTAGACACATACCCAGCCTACTGAGTCATAAAGCAGTTGCTTGAACATCCAGAGCCACAATAAGTAGTTACGTACAGCATAATACAGATATGTAATAACGATAAATATGTTATGTGAAACAACTTAATTGCTAGTTAACGAAGGATCCCTTTTAGGTTATTTTTGGCATGCTGCCAGAAACTCGTCAAGGAACTGGACGGCAGGTTCTGCTAATTGACAGGCTCACAGCGTGGGGGACTCGGGAGTCCTCAAGTAGACGCGCGGTTAAAATGTAGGCTTGCTCATATATTCTTCCATCGTCTGAAAGAGAACGAGAAATTAGAACAAGAGCCCCTTCGACAGCCTTTAGCAGAATGTGAAACCTTTGTCATTCTTTTACTTCCTTATTGTTTGCGGTTATTGAACAGAAGTTATCTAAACGGGGATGGACATCAATCTTTGCATTCTGATCAAGAACAGCGGTTCAGAGTTTGAGCGTAACGTGCAGACACATCCATGTGGCTGGAACTTAATAACTTTCCACGGAAAAAGCTACGCTTGATCCCAAAAAGAATGTCCGACAAGAGAAATTCTAAAGCAACAGCTGCCGATATGCCACTGTTGACTTCGGGTAAACGTGCCTAAATGATCATGAGCACCCACCTCCAGGCACACGTAGTAGAGAAATCTCGACTGTATCTCTGTAACGTCAGAATTGCTACAGATACTGTGCAAATCATCTTTCTACGCTTGTTGGCAAGATATAAAAAGCACACACAAACTAGGATTCTTAAGGGTTTCTTCCATGTATTTTGAAAAGGCTTTCCTCCAAAGTATGCGAACTTCCTTCATCCTCCTCACCAGTTAGCAAGTTTGTCAACATGCTAGAAGGCCATAATTTTTTTTGCCACTACTTTTGAAGAAAAGGTAGAGTTGAAATATACTGTGATGGGCAAGCCCTTTACCATGCAAGATAAATGGGTTGTCTCTTGCATTCTCTTCTATTGTAAACATGTATTTGTGTAACACAGTGGCTCCTGCGTCGAATCAATACAAAAGTTCAAGGGGGGCAGCCTTGGGGAAACGCCCCTGCCTCTTTCGCCCAAGCCCCAGTCAGCTCCATCAGTAGTGATCAAACTGTGCTTAACCTTGAACCTCAGGGTGCATGATTCACTTGCACCTGGCCGGGAAGACAATTGATCCGCATGGGCCAAACGGCAAGGCCATGGCTAAGCAATATCACTCAGAGGGAACCAAGGTTAGAAATCAGGCGTTCCAACGGGTTTTCACCAGCTCTGTTTAGAATTCCAGGACTCCTATGCTGAAACACTTGCGCTCGGTCACCCACACTTTCTTATAAAGCTCTTACGCCTCCAGATGAGCACTGGCCAAGAGAAGCCCACACCCCCAGCCCTCTGCCCTGTCTGCATCTCCTCTTACAATTGCTGCCGGTGTCTTCAAACTTAGCAGGGCTATCACACTGGCCAGGGGCCCACGCCTGTTTTCTAGCACCTAGAGTTTATACCATTTGAAAAGGAATACAAAGTTGCAAATACAAAATTGGGTATGAAGTTGATTTAGAATGAGGAAGGCAGTAACAGATTATGCGTTTTTAAAGGACAAGTATCCCAAAATCCAGAACCATAGCCTAAGGTTTTCATTCATTAAGTGTCTGACATGCTTCTATAATGTATTCACTGTATGGCTACATGCGCTTTGCGGCTACGATATCTTACCTTTATAAATTCCACCGCATGAGCCTGCAGCCTCGGAAGGGGCTTGGGCCAGCAAAAGCCTCTGGAATTGTCACTTTGCCGGCTTCTAGTTATTGGCACCACCTCCCACCACTGGCTACCTCAGTCGGCTACAGACGACACCGACTGCCCTTTCTGGGCCATGCTGTTACTCAAGTTACATGAATCAATAGCGTACAAGGTTGGTATTTTCTTGAGCTTCCTGCTTTCAAGGTTGGAATAGACACTCAAGGCTGGCACAACCTTAAAGAGCTCTGTGTTTCACAAGAGGACCAGGATCTGTCCCTCAGGACCCCTTCTTGCACCACCAAGTTCCTTGTGGATTTCGCACTGTACATACTGTAAGTTTTTACTGCTTTATGGCTTTGCTTAGCAGTTAACATGGGTTGTGGGTTTTGTTTTTGTCGTTGTTGTTGTTGTTGTTGTTTTAGAGAGAGAGAGAGAGAGCGCGTGCAGGGGAGGGGCAGAGAGGGAGAGAGGATCCCAAGCAGGCTTCATGCTCGGTGTGGAGCCCAAGGATCCTGGGATCATGACCTGAGCCAAGATTGGAAGTAGGACACTTAACTGACTGAGCCACCGAGGTACCCCAACGTGGGTTGTGCTTTTCAGGGTGACAATGTGGGGATGCACCTATGCCATTCTCATGCCTCCACGCATACACAGGCAAGGTATTCTCCCGCTTGAGCCAATGAGACACCATTTTGACTCGGGCTCCTCATTTTGTGGGGAAACCTCTTCTGTCCGTCGCCCCCACTGGTGATGCCAGGAATTGCAACCCCTCCAGGTAGTCAGCTAACTACCTTCCTCTTTCAGTTTGTTTTCTTATCACTTCAAGCCACTGTCCACGGGTTGTCACCCACAAAATAAGATACCTCCAAAAGTCACCCCCAACCAATTAAACTGTTCTTTGCATTTTTTTATTAAAAAAATTTTTTTTAATGTTTCTTTATTTTTGAGACAGAGAGAAACAGAGAATGAGCAGGGGAGGGGCAGAGTGAGGGAGACCCAGAATCCGAAACAGGCTCCAGGTTCTGAGCTGTCAGCACAGAGCCCGATGTGGGGCTCGAACTCACAAACCGTGAGATCGTGACCCAAGCCGAAGTTGGACATTAACCGACTGAGCCACCCAGGTCCCCTAATCTGTTCTTTTTTAATCCATATCACTAACACCGAGCCCCAGGACACTCAGAATAATCTTTGAGCATTTGCAAATTTAAGACTCTGTGTCTTCTTACTAAATGTGCGAGGATGGCCTTTTTATTCTAAGAAACCGTTATTAATTAGGGGTCAGGGAAAGTTCTAGGGGCTAAAAGCAATGTGACAAAGGCCTCCCTTGACCTTTAGTAGCTAAAATATGTGCTTAGGTCCAAAGGACAGGGAAAAAAAGGAAGCAGTATTTTTTTTCTTTATGTAATTACATGGCTTGTGCCTAGTCATTCTACACTTTTCTGACCAGATATACACAGCCCATTTTTCAGCTAGCTCCCCAAACGTTCACTGACTTAGCTGAAGTACCCGGAGCCCAAGAGAATGCTGATAACGTTGTCTCTATTTGGCAGGTGCTGTTAGTTTACCCAGAGAGCTTTAGAGGGCAGTCATGACATTGCCTGGTCACCATGGGGACACAGAGGCTAAACGGAGGGGCCCGTGAGCCCTGCCCATCAAGACCTTCCACTCGATCAGCAAGAACCCGAACTACCAGTTAGCGTTTAATTGTGGAAGGGCTCTCTCTTGAAACGCCTGCTTCCCAGACTTCTGTGGAACTAGCAGCATCAGATGCACTCCCAGCTCTTTAAAACCCTGTATTTCTTCCAGAGCAGGAATTCAAAATAACCCAGATTGTGTCCTGGCCCCAGTTCAGAAAGCCGCAATTACCGTTAGTGCCCGAGACCCCGCTAAAAAGTCTCTTTCTCCCGTAAGTAGACTCCACAGTAAGGGCCCTGAGGATAGGGTTATAAATAGCCCTTGGCATATTTTAAGAAAGGTTGTCCTGTGGAATTTCCAAACCCCTGATTTCTCAAGCACCTTGCAAAATTCCTTTCCTTTGGCGTTTGGAGAGAGCCAAGCAAACATCAGAAGGTTTAAATGCATTTCTTGCGGTGAGGACACCTCCAGAGGGAGATGAACCAGTCTCCTCAAAGGCACACGCGGATGCTTCCGGCACCTACTCCAACAGGTGTCTTCCTCAGAGTCCATTCACCTGAGCTCTGCTTCCCCCCGGATGGGCTGGAATAAGTCATCAGCTCAGCGAGGTGCCAGAAAAGTTGCTGGGAGACCATCCCTGATGCTGTTTTATTAACCCAGTCTCTTATTTCTTGAACAGCAGGAAGAATGGCTTTAACGCCATTTTTTTTTTAATTTTTTTTTTTTCAACATTTATTTATTTTTTTGGGACAGAGAGAGACAGAGCATGAATGGGGGAGGGGCAGAGAGAGAGGGAGACACAGAATCGGAAACAGGCTCCAGGCTCTGAGCCATCAGCCCAGAGCCCGACGCGGGGCTCGAACTCACGGACCACGAGATCGTGACCTGGCTGAAGTCGGACGCTCAACTGACTGCGCCACCCAGGCGCCCCATAACGCCATTTTTTAAAAGAGAGCATGTAATCCTCTGGAATCTCATGACCTGCCATTGTGAGACAGGCAGGTGGAAAGACCCAGTGACGCTGTGGGAAGAAGTGCCTAGAGGTGGCCTGTGCTGGGGTTGGTGGGATCACCTCATTAGGAGGCCAAAGGTCAGTGGGGTGCCGTGCTCCCCGTCAGTGTCCTTGGGAGCAGTCAAGGGGCCGATGTAGGTAAGTTCTCTTATTAGGTGTGATGTATGGTGCAAATCTGCACTGCTTCTAGAAGCCCCACGTGGGACGTCTGGGTGGCTCAGTCGGTTGAGTGTCTGACTCTTGATTTCGCCTCAGGTCACGATCCCGGAGTCGTGGGATCGAGCCCCGCATCGGGCTCCGTGCTGAGCAGAGAGCCTGCTTGAGAGTCTCTCTCTCTCCCTGTGCCCTTCTCCCTTTCTCTCTCTCTCTCTCTCTCTCTCTCTCTTTCCCCCTCTGCCCCTCTCCTTCACTCATGGGCACTCTCTCTCTCTCTCTCTAAAATAAAAATAAAATAGGGGCGCCTGGGTGGCGCAGTCGGTTAAGCGTCCGACTTCAGCCAGGTCACGATCTCGCGGTCCGTGAGTTCGAGCCCCGCGTCGGGCTCTGGGCTGATGGCTCAGAGCCTGGAGCCTGTTTCCGATTCTGTGTCTCCCTCTCTCTCTGCCCCACCCCCGTTCATGCTCTGTCTCTCTCTGTCCCAAAAATAAATAAAAACGTTGAAAAAAAAAAATTTTTAAAAAAAAATAAATAAATAAAATAAAATAAAAATAAAATAAAAGACCCACTGTATTTTATGTAAATATCACAGAGTCAGGAGCACAACCACATGGATGCTTCAGGGCCCATTTATACCTTGGCAAGCAAACCACAGGATTCCCAATTTACTTATGCAAATAGGAGCACACCTGCAGTCTCGCCAGGAGGTGTAAGGAATTTTAATTACAATGATAAATGCCATCTTCAATAATAAACTTCTAATATCCCTGGCAAACGGAGTGACAATGCACTGCTATTGCACAGATATTTTAATGAAAGTCTTTTTATACCTCTCATTAAATGTCTGAAAAAAAAACAGCACCCAGCTTTTGGTTCCTTTTTGACAGTTGAGGTACCCTCACTAAAGAGCTCGGCCACACACGAAAAGCCAAGACTCTGGAGCCCAAGTTCCTGGGTTCAACTCTCTATTCCACACTTCCCAGCTGTGTGACATCAGGCAGGTTGTTTAACCTCTCCGTGTCTCCGTTCACTCGCCTCTTAAGAGCGAACACTGGTAAGTTGCTTAAAAACCGCACCCCGCACAGCGTCAAGGCCTCAAGAAGTGTCGGCCAGCACACAATCATCATCGTCCCCATCGTTATCTGTCCCCGTTGTACTGACCTCCTGTAACATATCAGAATCTTCAATGGCTTTGACAGCAGATTTCTTGGACGTTTCCTGAATTTCTCCACCCATTATAAACTCGTCGAGGATAAAATAAGCCTTTTCGAAATTAAAGATAATATCCAGCTCGCAGACCTGGTCAGACAAAAACAAACGTGTCGGTGAACTTGCAGGAGCAGCAGGGGAAACACGTATCAGCCTCAAGCTTTTCCAACAGCCACACCCAGGAGGCACACCAAAGGGAAAACTATCAAATGGTATTCTAAGGACAGAAAAATAGAAGTGGGGAATCCCAGGCGCTTTAGCAAAAGTAAAACCACATTCTATTAAGCAGACCATGTCCTTAAATAATATTCTTTGACGTCACAACAAGAAATTTGAGACTCGGGAGAGGGATCGGGCAGCATGGCTCCTATTTCCACCTGCCCCAATGGAAGCCGAGTCCCCAGTGATGTCAGGCACGAGGGCCTCGCCTCCTTCCTCCTGCTCTCTGGTCCGTAAGTCTGGGCTCCTAGCTACAGGACTATCAGCAGCTCACTCCTCAGAGGCAAATCAGCTCGCCTGTGCTAATTTTTCTCAAAATTATGCCACAAGCCAGTCGTTCTCAAACTTCAGAGCGCACTGAATCCACACGGAAGGCACCTGCTGGGCCCCCACCCTGAACGTTGGGATTCGGCGGGTCTGGGTAAGGCCCGAGAGTCTGCACGTGTGAGGGGTTCCCAGGCGATGCTAATGATGGAGGTCTGGGGACCACAGGGGGAAAACCACTGTCAGAGACCAAAGCAGAGCCTAATAGATTTCGTGGTTCAAGTGAAGCCAGAGGCAAGAGAGCCGCCCCTCATGATCCCAATAGGGCTTGTTTTTCAATTCCCTGATTGGCCACGCTGGCACTCTCCTGGTGTTTTCCTTCTCACGTTTTCCTCAACTCCCCGACATCCCCGTTCCTATTCCACACCCTCTGGAAGGTTGCTGCTAACTGCAAGTTTCTCGCCCTCTGCCCTCCGCCTCCTTTACCTCTCAGTAGCACTGGATACGCTCCACCATGTCTCTCTTGAAAAATCTCTCCCTTGCTCCCTGACCTTGGCCATACCATTCAAGGCCTGTTCTTGCCCAACATCTCTGGTGATTCTTTCTCAGACTCGCTGGATGATTTATCTCCCCCGCTACTTTGCATTCAGTGAAGAAGTATTTCTGGAGGGGGGGGCTTGGGACATCAGCAAAATCAACACCGCTGCTTCAGGCCGTTTACCTTCTAGTGACGCCACCTTCTTGGCGTGTTTCATGAGAGCTTCTTCTCTTTGTGATACATATACTCTAGACAACCTCACAGACTCTCTATGGCTGTGTCTCGCCTCCAGGGTCCCATAACCTGGATGTGTAGCCCTGATCTCCTTCTGGAGCGAGTCCAATATCTTCACCTGCTCAGGAGACATGTCTGCCTGGACATTCCTCAGTCCAAGTCACCATCAGCCAAACTGAAGTTAAGCATATTCTCTTCCCCGCAGACCATTTTGCTTAGTAGCTGAAAATTCGATCTGGGGCTTGACCGGATTCACTCCACAGTGCCACTGATTTCTCCCTCCCCGTCATTCTTTTCCCCCTGCCTCGGGTCTCACGCCGCTCAGTCTGGTCGTCAGTTCCTGTTGATTCCGTCGTGTAAATAAACGACACCCCTTCGCCTCTTCTGTCTGCTACCCTTTCACCGCCTTCTCTCAGGCCTGCAACCTCTCTCATCGAGGCCACTGCAATGACCTGTTAGGTGGCGTCGGTCCCCACTCAAGGCCAACAATGACTAACGCTCTGCTAAAGTGCTGATCTCGTTCCTGTCCTGTGTAAGGTCTTATGTCCAGAACAAAGTTTTAATTCCTCTACGTGCCTTTTGGGACTCTTTACCACCTAGCCTGGGCCCCCCTCTCTCTAGCTTCCTGTGTCAGCATCACCCCCGTGCTACAGCCACGGTCCACTGAGTTCTTTTATGCCTTTACCTTTGCACATACGAGCGATTCCTGGGATACACCCTAGATGTCCTTTTCTTTACGCTGCTGGCAAAATGAAGCTCACTTTTCCAAGGCCAAACTCAAAAGTCAGGGGTCTGGAGATTCCACCAAAGCCTCTTTTCCCCCACTCAGATTTCACACCACTTGCTCTGTGTTCTCTCTTACATCTGTGGGCCCTAGTGTATGCTTACTTATCGATCTCTCCCCCAGCACTGTGAGCTCGGGCACAGACCTCAGTCATCTTAATATCCCCGGTATCCAGCACATCATAGGATGCAGGACATATCTGTAGGACAAATGAGTCAGTCACTATTTAGGCCTTGTTTCTATGAGGCTGGGAATTAATGGGTTCCCAGATCACGGATTCTCTGATCCTACTGAGGGCTATAACGTTACACGAAGCGGATGTCAACGTTTTAGCAAACTGCTTCACGTATTTAGGACTTAGGTCAATGGAGTTGCAGACTCTACGAGGTAAATCATTAGGTAAATATCACGACCATAAATGGCCAGCTCAGAAAAACTCTTCCAACTACCTGCACAGGTCCTGGTCTCCTCATTCACTAGAAAACAGCAGTAAGCGGGTAAATCCACAACAAGTGGGTGTATACATCTATCTCTACCTCCTCCCTCCCGCAACAGTCCGTCTGCCTCTCTGTCTGTTGTGACGGTGTGGAAATTCCATGTACAAGTTGGAAAGAATGAGAGAGACTTCCATGGACAAATGGGGAAAGAACTCCAAGGTACCTTTGGAGAGGGGAAAGAAAAGAAAGCAAGTTGCAGACGACCATGCGGAATGCGATCCCATTTAGAAATAAAACTGCGTATGTCTGGTTAAAGAAGACACAAGGAGCAAGCAGTTACCAGAGGTCAGTAGAGGCAGGAAGTCAGGAGTAACAGCAGCAAAAGCTGAGGAACCTCAGAGTTCAAGGCAGGCGTAGACAGGAATCGGAGACAGACGGAAGCCTCATTAGGAGACACCAGCAGCTGGGATCCTGCAAGGTGAACCTGGCAGATACTAATGCAAGTTTTTCAGGAACGTCTCAAACCCCACTCGCAGACAGCCATGGGGCGGTTAACTGACTGCATCTAGTTTCAAGGGAAGGGAATAAAGTCGCAGGCATGCAAAGTCCGATAGAGAACACACATGCGCAGGCACACACGCACACACACACACACACACACACACACAGCAGCAACTTGGATGTACAGTGACTATCTCTAGGTTATAAGGAAACAGGGGTACAAGTTCTATCGGAACTGTAGGGAGTGTCACATATGAGCAACGATTTTGTATACAGCAACTCCAAAATGCTACTTCTATGGTTATTCTTTGAGCCTAACCCCAAGGGGTTACTGTATCTGAGAGCAGAAACAGGAAACACCTCCCGGAGCACCCTAGACCAAATGCAGGTTTCTTCAGCTAACTGCCCAATTACTCAAATACTGGTGATTCCACTTAAGGGTACTGTCCCAGTACATCAGGAATGTGCCCTCGATGCTTAAATTACCGCATTTCATCTATTATGTAAAAATAAATGGTTTCCATGTTTATAAACACGTGAGCATCTGAATTTTTTTTTCACATTTTCTTGTGTATATATAGACTCTGGAAGAAAGCTTATAAGAAGGCAGAAACAGTGATAATTTAATTTCACCCTTGATCTCTTAGCCTGTGCTTTTTTTTTTTTTAATTTTTTTTCAACGTTTATTTATTTTTGGGACAGAGAGAGACAGAGCATGAACGGGGGAGGGGCAGAGAGAGAGGGAGACACAGAATTGGAAACAGGCTCCAGGCTCTGAGCCATCAGCCCAGAGCCTGACGCGGGGCTTGAACTCACGGACCGCGAGATCGTGACCTGGCTGAAGTCGGACGCTTAACCGACTGCGCCACCCAGGCGTCCCACTTAGCCTGTGCTTTAATTTGGCTTGAGGGTCTTCTCTTAGAGCAGAATACATGACTTCGTAAGAGTATTTCTGACATTTCATTAACTAAATACTTTTGGATAGAGTCTAAGAAGAGCCTTCTCTTACTGAATTCTGTTCTAAAGTAAGTACAGAAAGTTTAAATTACATATAGCAAATGTATAAAACCATATATAAAATAATACAGTTTAAGGTACAACGACATAGCAATTGACAGTTTATAAAGTATTGTCGATCACACTGTCTCTTTGATCCCCACAACAGCCCCATGAGATTAAGCAAAGTAAATATTTCTGTTAACCTTTTGGAGTGTTATTTTCTTATCTGTGAAATTAGAGATCTATCATAAGCCAAATCATGGGTCTGGTTAGTGGGTGACTGGGCACCACTCACTCAGGACCTAACAGGACTCAGAGCCTTCCTCCTCCTAGAAGAAAACTTCCTAAATCAAGATCAAGCCTCTTTGGGATAGCAACACCCATACCCTCTGAGCACATCAGCAAAAACTCACACCACAGCCTGTAATGGGAAAATACGGCAGGTGGCTAAATCCTCAAACAGGCCTTTATCTACTCTAAGACTCTGGGGCATCTCTTCGTAGCCTCTGTAAATTGGGGTTAATGCTGTTTACGGAAGATTGAAAGATTAACTAGTTAATCCGTGTAAGTCTCCCTGGAATGGAAAAATGCTCAAAAAATACATAAGTTAGTAGCCAGAGAGTTTGATTGATCTGCCATAGGAAGGTAATATTTTCCACTGTTGTAAGAGAAACACAGTACAAAGTTTTCTCTTGGATAATATCAAGGGCAGAATTCAAGGAAACCTTCAGTATTAACAAAGAAAAAAAGAGTGCCAAAGAGAAATAGATTATTCCTGAGATGATGTCAATGAAAATCAGTACTGGTAGCCTTTGCTCATCACAGTTAATTAATAAGAACTGAACACCTACTGGGCACATAGCCTTGAATTGCTCTTAGCTGCTCTTAGCTTAATAAAAGATTCATTGAATTTTTTAGTGAATTAAATTTTGGTCCGTGGCAAAGACAGAGCTTCTAAAGGTACGCCACAATAGGATGAAAAATTAATGTTAGAGAAATAGGAATTCATTCTGATTCTCCTTATATCTTAACTGAGCTTAGCATTGGTGAAGGTGATTTAGATTGTCTTAAGAAAGCAATGTGTCGTGATAAGACTAAGACCGAAATTTAACCCCAATTCACGTTATCACAGTTGGGTAAATCTAGGAAAACATATAGTTCAAACCACAGTGCGGAAATTAGGGGCAGAAGGTCCTAGGGCAGCCTGGGCCTCACAAAAACTCCTGCAGGCCTTTACAAAAGGCCAGGTCTGCAGTGGATTTCAAAATGTCAGGCTTCATTTGAATAATGGAAAGCATAAATTTAACTAATCTCAAGTTTGAAAACATGCTATTATATGTTTGCAAATCTCTCTTTAAAAAAAATGAAAACCCATGGGGGGAGGGGAAGGAAAAGAAAAAAGAGGTCAGAGAGGGAGAGAGCCAAAGCATAAGAGACTCTTAAAAACTGAGAACAAACTGACGGTTGACGGGGGGTGGGAGGGAGAGGAGGGTGGGTGATGGGTATCGAGGAGGGCACCTTTTGGGATGAGCACTGGGTGTTGTATGGAAACCAATTTGACAATAAATTTCATATACTGAAAAATAAATAAATAAATAAATAAATAAATAAATAAATAAATAACTTAGAGAAAACCTAAGAGGAAGACAAAGAAAAATGGTCTGCCTGTCTTACTCTGTATACTGACCAACAACCTGAATCTCTGAAGCAACATTAAAGGTCATCTTCTAACATCATTTATAAAGGGAATAAAGGAGAATCAAAAGGATACAGGGAGGGAGGGAGAGAAAATTCTTTCAAAAACCTTTCAAGTGCTCACGCTGGTGAAAATCGTTGCAAGAAATCTGATAAAACCCCAACCAATACCGCAAACGCTACTCATTCCATTGGACAGAGAACAAAATGTCTTATGGAAGCAAACTCTCCCAACAACGCTTAATAAAAACCAGCGAGCAGGGGAATGGGGAAGAGAACATTACTGAGAGAAAACACTCCAAATCCAATGACTTATTTCTTGAGACTGTGAACTGGATGACACGTTTCTGGAACATTTGCTAAAATCTGGCCCAGAGTTGCTTACACGTGTTGAAAAATCAAACGACTAAGTCCTAGGTCATGATCTCGAGAGACCTGCTGTTTGGGGGCCACACAAACCCTGCACAAGTTACGGGTAATACCAGGCTGTTCCATGTTGCTGGAGCACTGGGCACGTCAGGGATAAAAAGAGAAAAGCGAGAAGGTCAGAGAAGTGGCCTGGGATGGATGTTTAGAAAGCTCACGTGCCAGGCTACAATGTTTGGCTGTTACTCATTATAGACGATGGAAAGTGACTGAGGATGTCTGTCACCCTGGATCTGTGCATTGCAAGGAAGATGGTAACTGACAAGCCAGGAAAGGGAGGCAGAGATGAGCCCAGAGGCAGAAAGGGCCAGAGGTGAGGTCCCAATGAAAAGGAAAACTGTGATCCCAAGTAAATCTATACCGGGTGGGAGTGGGAGCAAAGAGATGGACTGTAGTCCAATCGGAATAGACAAAGGCAGCCTTTAGCAAAGCGTGGAGAAAGAAAAAAGAAGGAAGCATTGGAGGGTCCCGGGACACAATAGACTCAATCACAAGACAGAACAGGTTTGCAGAAGGTGACTGTAGTTCTTGACGTGTTGAGGCTGAGATGGTTGTTAAGAAGAAAACAAAAGACTGAGACGGCTGTGGGAAGCCCAGTGAAGACCGTCCTCAGCAGAGCGCAAGAGCCATATGGTCATGGATTCTGGAAGCGACAGTCAGGCAGACATGCAAGGAGAGTAGAAAGGGCAGGGCGAGGAAGGGAGCTGGGGGCAGAAACCAAGGAGGGGCCTTTAGAAACGGGATGAGAATCAGAACTCGGGGCTGTGGCAAAATAAAGAGGTGTGGTGACGAGCAAGGATCCAGCACTGCAGGGAGGTGAGCAGGTGAAGATTTAAGAAGCATCACTGGTGTTGACCATTAGGAAGGGGCTGGTGGTAACTCTGTGATCTCCTTGGAGCCGGAAAGGTGGAACCCAAGCTCTAAGCGGCCCCAGAGCACATGGGTTCTGAGGTCGCTGCCCCTTCTATGGAATCCTACTTGGCAATAAATGCATGGAGACTAAATAACAATAGGAAGGAAAGGGATTTGGGTTTTCTCTTGTTGATTTGTTTGGCATTTTTTTAACATATAAAGAATATAAAAGAACACTTGGAACTTAGTAAAAGAAGCTGGAGAGGGGATGGAAAAGTCAAAACAGAAGGGAGATGACAGTCAATGAAGAATGAGAAGGAAAAGATCGAGGAATCCTTCACAACTAAATTCCAGTTCATTGAACAGGGTCTCTAGTGCGGTTGTGGTCTGAAGACAGAGACACGGCCTGCCTCTTGAAAGCTGTGGGTCTTTTGTTTACAAAGAATCATGGGAAGTGGGGGAACGCCTCACATTCTGGACCCTGTACCCATGCAATTCATGCTTTAGACTTGAGAGGGAGAAGCAATGCAAGGAAAGATAGCACTGGTGTAAGAACTGAAATAGGGACTGATTCTGAATAGACGAGAACAACACTTACGTTTCCAAAGTATTTGTCCAGCAGCTCCACGTAACGATGCACAATCTCTAGCGTCAAGAGCTCATTGTCCTGATTTTCGACTGCGCAGCAAAAATATAAACTAGCATACCTTGGAGAGAAAAAAAGAAAGGAAGGAAGGAAGGAAGGAAGGAAGGAAGGAAGGAAGGAAGGAAG